ATGATTTGTGTGCTATTTTTACCAATTAACCCCTGAATAAAAAATAGTTGAGCCATGTAGTACCTTGGAAATCAACCTAGAAACCCTGTAGTTTGTTGATTGTTTATAGAGCGTCCTTTGCTGCCAAAAATAGTTTTTTTGGCAGTTGCGTCCCCAGTGACATCGTGAGGGCATGGTGAAGGTTGGTTTCGATTTGGTGGCACATTGATTGAGTATTTTCATTCATCTGGCTATGTAAGTCAGTGGCGTATCTAGATGTCTTGAAATGGGGGATGATGAGGGAGGGGCGAAGGTGAAGTGGGGGGAGGGGATCGATGATTTGTTGAGGGGCGCTATTTTTAACTACTTGAACCTGATTTGAAACCACTGTCAGTATAATCTTAGATAAGCATGTGGTTAACATAAGCAAGAATTAGTCCAATAAAACTGTTTATCATCTTGATACCTTCCGATGAAAATTGGCCCTGCCAGCGTCACCACGGCGTCCCCACCGATCGATCTAACGTGACGTTGTTATGTGGGTGTTTTATAGATTATTGAGAATGGTAATATCACCGAAAAAATAGATAAAATGACAGTTGAATGACCAACAAAGATAATTAAGACAATAGTTCGTCATTAGAAGTTATTTAGTATAACTTTATTCGGAAAATTAATCTCAAAATCGAGTTGCCGTCCCCGGCGTTGTCAGTGACGTCGTATGATGTGTGTGCGATTTTTACCAATTAACCCTAAATTAAAAAATAGTTGAGCCATGTAGTACTTGGAAATCCCAACCCAGAAACCGGTAGTTTGTTGATTGTTTATTGGTAGCGTCCCTTCGCTGCCAAAAACAGTTTTTTTTTTTTTTTTGGCAGTTGCGTCCCGGTGACATCCCCTTTTCAAATGTTAAAAAATAACCAACATACATTTTAAGTTTTTAAGTGCCATTCTCTTTTTTCTCATGCAGCCTCAAACATGAGGGGACGCAGGTGGATATAGTTATTTTCCTAGTTTTTATGTATGAAATTGCCATTTTCCGGCATCAAAATTCCCCAATTTTTAACATTTTCTCACCTCAGCGGATATATATGTGGATATAGTACGGTAATTTTTGTTGTTTTTATGTATTAAAGTGCCATTTTCCGGCATCTAAAAGTCTGTAATTCTTACAATTGCTTTACCTCAGCCTTAACCATGGTGGGCTGTGATAGATGGATTGGAATTTTTTTTCATAAATTTTAAGTGTCCGAGTGTTGTTTTGGGGCATCTATAAAGTCTCAAATTCTTGCAATTGACTCATCTGCGCCCCAAAACCATTGTGGGGCTTAGGTAGATATCGTAAATTTTGTACTATTCAAGTGCTTTTTTGTGCATCTAACGAGTCTCAACTTCTCAAAATGTTCTCACCTGAGCCCCAACCATAGTGGGGCTCAGTTGAATATGGTAGTTTTTAGAATAGTCAGTACTTAAACTTCTTTTTCGCGTACCTAATTAATTAATTAGGGTTTTTTTTTACTCAATTCGTCAAAAACATTATTATTTAATAGGTAATGTAAGTTCTATTTTGGGGCATCCCCAGTGGTATAAAATACTGAAATTTTTGCGTCACTGCCAACCACGATGGCACTGACGTGATGTGGACTCTCATTACATCAGCACACCGTTCTTTAAATTATGGATACGCCACTTTGCTGAAAACAATAGTTAAGACAAAATATATATTTCCATTAATTTTGTTGTTCATGTAAATATCTGATAGGTTATTATATACTTTAAAACAATGCTAAAAACACAGTGTCATGGGCGTCGATTGGTGGGGACAGGGGGGACGCGACCCTCCACTTTTTAAAGTGGGGGGGGGGACATCATATCGATTGTCCCCCCTCCCACTTTTCACCAATTTTCTATAATTAAAACCCCACTTTTAAAAGCGAATGGAAAGAATAGCAATTACGCATGACTCATGAATTTTGTCTGTTCACTTTTCTAAGTGTGGTACGTATTTTCCGGACCAAAACCAAGTAAAAACGCAACTGTTTGAACAATTTGTAGCCATCTCAGAAACCCACTAGATCGATTTTATGGGTGATACGACTATCAGAGGCTAAATTTATTGTGAAAACAATGTACTGAACGTTGTTGAAATTGGAAGCATGTATCCATATTAGGCCAATATTTTTACAAACTCAAAAGTGCACGATTTCTAATATAAACGATTTATTCTTTCTGTATATAATTATGACCTGTACGTATATACTAGTGTTTAATATTATCTACATACATAGGATTACTGTTTTTTTTTTCTAATTTCACAGATATGATGTCCACCTATTTCGATTAAAATTAATGATAAGCCTACCAAAAGTTTACAAACTCCAGTGTTACGTTGATGCAGTCTCGCAATGCCATAATAATCAGTGGCAGATTCAAGTGGGCCGAGCCGACCCTAATTTTTTCAAAATTATTTTTATAAAAGGGAAAAAAAACAAAGGAAAATTAGAATTAGAATTTAGGTCTGAGAGTGCCATTTCCGGCAATCTAGAGGTGTCATAATCATAAATTTTCTTTCCTCAACCCCAATCATGGTGGGGGTTAGGTGATCTACTTTTCCAACGTGCATGTCCCTCCCTGTCCCCACTCTAATTTGCTTTCCTGGAGCAGCCACTGATAATGATAAATTAAGTAAATCACCTTTATGTTTGTGAAATCAAAATGCAAACTAATGTTTTGTGTGCTCCCTATCTCCCTAGTCCTGTTTGATCGTAAATTAGACTGTATTATTTCCACTCACAATAATTTATCGCAATATTACTTACACAAAAGTGAAATTCAAAAAGAGGAAAAAGTAAAAACCTCTTGATTGATTTTAAAAAAAGACTAAATTAATGACTGTTGTAAGTTTATCTTATTTGTTTGTCATAGTTCGAATTTTGAATACGTTACAAGCTAATCAGTAGATAATAAATCATTATTTTTATGAATGTTAGTTTGCACGAAATATATAAGCGGGCATAATTATGACTAAAAAGGATAATTTTGAAAACTTTTTATGATGAGTATTTCAGTGGCAGATTCAAGGGGCCCAGCCGGCCCACCATCACTATTTTTTTTTTTTTTTCGAAATTTAAAAGTGGAGAAAAATTAAAATTATATTCAAATTCAAATTAATTCATAATCATTAATTTTCTTACCTCAGCCCCAACCATGGTGGGGCTGAGGTGGTACCGTAGTCCAGCTACACTCTCCATCTGTAAAAGTCCCTCTCTGAGCTTCTGGGACTTCGCCCCCTGGTCCCCAACTATAAATGTCTATATGCGTACAAAAACCAGATTATAGAATTTACCAATAGATCAATAACTTTCCAGTGATAACCACATCAACTACATTACTCCACCAAATTTTAGAAACAATAGCAGTATTGTACAAATAACGGCATCATACTTTTTATGTTGATCATCTATTTATTTTTGGCGCACATTGATCATACAGTGCTCCTATCATTCCTATCATTATCATAATTATGCCCATACAATTTACAAATCGAGAATTGAGAAACAACCACATTACTTAACGTACCGCACCATATTTCCGAATTAAATAGACAATTTAGAAATATACTAGAGGCCAGATACATTTTCTAACTAACCGTCCATTACATTCTAATTTATCAATGAAAGTAGTAATAAAAAGATAAAAACTACGAAAATGTCATAAACTATAAATGACTTTAATATTTTCTGAGTTAATCCTTTTCCATAGTGTCCAATGGTTACCATACCAAATTGGTGGGACACAGTGATAAACTAAATATCTTGTTTAATATTTTCTAAGTTACCCATAGAAACACATAGAAAAAAATTATTAGACCATCACTCCAGCCCGCGTCAAAAAAATTAGCAATTATTGATGCGGAAATTTTAAAAAGTGTTTCTTTTTCTTGGCCGCATCATTTTGTCAACAGCATAAAAAACAATGAAATTTTGTGATTGGAAATTAAACCAGTTTTATAAAATATATAAAAAATATATATATAATATTTATAATATTCTTGCCAAATAAAAACAGTCCCTCCCTTATCTATTACAAAAAATCAGTTGTTCCGATTTAAAAAAAAAGAAATAAAAAGGCCCGCCCTATTCACTTAAAAAAAAAATAGTGATCTAATAATTTTTCCTATGTGCCCTAAATTGGCTATAGTGGGATACAGTGATAAACTATAAATATCTTGTTTAATATTTTCCAAGATAATCCTATTATTTTTCATTGTGTCCAATGGTTGCCAAATTGGCTATAGTGGGACACAGTGATAAAGTACAACTGTCTTCTTTAATATTTTCTAAGTTAATCCTTTTCTTTTTCATTGTGTTCAATGGCTGTTAAGAGCACATAGAAAACGTTATTAGATTATCACTCTTTAAAAAAAACGATGAGGGAGGGCGGTGTTTTTTTTTATAAATCAGAACAATTCGTTATTGCGCTTTTGTTTTTATTGATGAGGGAGGGACTGTTTATATTTGGCTAGTAATAGTAAATATTGTGTGGGACACAGTGATAAATTATAAATATTTTGTTATTATTTTTCAAGATAATCCTGTTCTTTTTCATTGTGTCCAATGGTTGCCAAATTGGCTACGGTATAGTGGGACACAGTGATAAAGTAGTCTTCTTCAATATTAATTAATATAAGCCGTTTATGAGATTTTGTAATGGACTGCTTTTTACTTTTAGACGACTTAATTTTTCCCATTGTGTATTTCTTCTTACAAAAGCTTTCTTATCAAAGTACCGATCGGATGTAATAAGTTTAGTATCTTCCCATCATGGGCTCCCTAGCTTCCAAAAATGTTTCCGGAAGTCATAGTCTCGTTTGGTCCAGGAATATTGTGTTTTTTTCTACATTGATAAAATTCTGAAATTCTCCAATTACATATAACATGGTAAAGTAAATTTATGTATAAAAATATTGCTTTGTATTCCAATGTAATTCTATGTAATTTTCATCATATTATTTATTATAGCTCTGGAGTTGGAACTTGACCGAAGTCCGTTTTGGTATACCAAATATACCTCTATTGGATGGTCGCCAATTGATACAGTCCTATAGTCGTCGAATTCTAAAGTCGCCGAATGATGTATAGCTTCAGTCGCCGAATGCTAAAGTGGCCGAATGATGTAGTCGCCAAATGCTAGGGTCGCCGCCGAATGAAAAAGTCGGCGCCGCATAACAAATGCGCCGAATACATAGTCGCCGCCGAATGAAAAAGTCGCCGGCGCATAACAAATGCGCCGAATGCAATGGGTTGCCGAATGGTAAATGCGCAGCCGAATGCTATATGAGCATAGAGATATAATAAGCTCTATGTATATGAGCCACAGAAGGCACTGTGGGCGTTCCATACGTATGGAACGCCCAGAGTGCCTTC